AAAAAAAAAAAAAACTTTTGTGGGGAAAGTGATTCCTTTTGCTACAACTGTCTTTCTGTAGTTTGTTTGTGTTGGCGGAAGTTCCAATCGGATGAGATCTTTTGCCCAGTTTATCCATGAGCAGCTGAATCTGCCCGGCAACATGGCAGACATCAGAGATATCTGTGAGGGAACGGACCGCTATTCCATGTTTAAAGTGGGACCTGTGCTGTCCATTAGCGTGAGTATCTCAAATATGGATTAGACTTGTGTTTAAATGAGAGTTTATTCATCATACATGCCTGTAAATTGATTTGAACTGTATGTATGAAGATCATGTGATGTGGGGGTATGTAATATTTGCACTGAATATGAATACCGAGTCAGCAATATTGCTAATAGTGCTAAAAGTGCTAATAAACAATGAGGTGGGAAAAATGATTAGAGGTGTTTAAGACAAGCTGTAAGTTATGCTTTGACTTTTATGGATTTGAAATCCCTTAACCCTACAAACTACATTCATCACATAATGCAACTTTTGTGCCATAGCCCACAGACATGAATAATGCTTTAAATCATGCAACTTGTTGAGAATAGCTGTATTGTTACTTTTCTAAGGGGCTGGACATTTTCTTGGCAGACTATTTTAACTTGGACCAATAAGCAACTACCTACATCTTTGCAGATATAGGCAAAGACCACTTTTCTACAGAAAAATGAAGAGAAAATAAACATCTGGTTACTAGTATAATTATGTCAGCCCTGTGTTCCTGTGTCTTGTGTTTGCTCCCCATTACCCAGTTCCTCCCTGGGTTTATTATGTACATTGATGTCAGGTGTTCCTCGTTTAGTTCCCAGTATTTAAGCCCTGTGTTTTCCTGTGTCCTGCATCCAGTGTTAAACGTATATATTCCCCTGTGCTACGTGTTTGTGTTCCTGCCCGTGTAAGTCTTTATTTGGATAATAAAGAGTGTTCCTTGTGTTAATCTCCGTCATCTCTCCTCTCTCCTCGTTCCTACACAGTAGGCGGACTGTGACAAATTACTGTAGTTCAACCACTAATCAGATTTTTTTGTGGAGCACATTCCTCTGTAAACCACTTTTTTTATATATTGGTAATGATATCTTTATATGCATCTGTTTGTGTGGATAGAACTGGTGGTCAGACTAATATATGCATAGGCTATATATTTACATTATTAAATTATTTGATGAAACAATATTATTGGCTGAATCATGTCTTACATCATATAATTTAATCTGTAGTGTACTTTTTTCACTAGCATCATAATTTATGTATTTTTCGATGTCTCTGACAGCATGGAATGGGCGTTCCCTCCATCTCCATCATGTTGCATGAGCTCATTAAATTGCTCTATCATGCTCGTTGTCGTGATGTCATCATCTTTCGCATTGGCACATCAGGCGGAGTTGGTGAGCACTTCCTGCTTTATTGTATGATTGAATTATGAAGTGCAAATACATCACCCAAGTGATTTTAACTTTAATGGCAATTGTGGAGACTCAAACATTAATCAGCCAATAATTCATACTCTGAAGCATTATATATCAGACCTTAATACTGCTGGATGGCGGGGGGCATGAAGTGTATGGGTTTGCTAACCTATACACAGGAAAAAAATTTGCCTTTTCTTTGAACACACAGGTCTGTCTGCAGGCACTGTAGTGATCACAGATAAAGCTGTAGACTCGTTCTTCAGGCCACAGTTTGAGCAGGTGGTTTTGGGAAAGGTAATCGTCAGAAGCACAGAGCTAGACGAGGATGTGGCCCAAGAGCTGCTGCAGTATTCCTCAGAGCTTCCAGATATTCCCACTGTTATTGGAAACACAATGTGCACCCATGACTTCTATGAAGGTAAAGTAACTGTTTTTGGGTTTTTTTTT